TTTCTTTCATGGTTACAAACAGCAAGTGTCGAGTCAAAATCTTGCTGCAAATATTTCCTGCATGCATATATGAAGAGCAACAATTTACTAACTTGGTTGTTCAGATTTATTTCTAGAAATACTGTTCAATCAGATTGTATACTGGGTATAATATGGTACACCATTAGATTAAAAAAAACACAGTATGCTGAAATTTTCAGATGTATCAATATGTTAAATTCCTGAAAAAATAATTATGCTCGTGGATGCATCCATATATGAAGTAGAAACTCCAATGTAAAAAATAAAGTACATCTATGGACAAATAGAAGATATGAAACAATCATAAAACGAAGTTTAGGCAATAAATTTAGCTTGAAATAATTCTAAATATCAGGGACACTCCAAGTAGTTTTATCAGTTGATCTCGGTTGCTTAGGTGCTATAGAAACATAAAATGAATGTAAAATCGAATAAAAAATGGGGGTCCGACTAACTGCTGTGAGTTTTGATTTTGGGTTGAATCTGGAAGGGGCACATAATGATGCTGACGTTGTTGATTTAGCTGATGGTGCAGCTCGGCAACTTTCTGCTTCAATCTGGCCACATCTGCCTCTGCAAGAGCTATCTCCTCAAGCTCGGCTCTCGTCTTCGAAAAAATTAATATTTCATCAACAACTTCACGTAAAGGCTCGATTATTCACTTACATATGTGAAGGAATAGAGACAAACCTTAGAATCCATGCCACGAGATCCGGAAAACTGACCAGAAGACATGCTTAAGCCAACTTCCAGAGCAGCTCTTAGGTCTCTTTCGGCTTGTAACTGTTCTTGCAGTCTCACCACCTATGAAAGAGAAGATGCAAAAGTCAGTAAATTAACATGTCAGACAAAAGCATGCAATTTGCATGTAAATTTCATTTATCATACCAATGAATGCAATTTGATTGACAGAAACTTACATCTTGTTCGAGTGACAACCGTCGCTCATGCAGAGCTTGCTTTCTTCGCTCCAAGCTAGCTTGAAGAATTGCATTTCCTCTTGCCTACCAAGATGAAAAGTTGAATCTTATATAACAAAACACTACCTATGAGCATTATAGAAATCATGAACGGTTTCCCAAAAGCTAGTAATTACTTCTTTTGCTATCCTTTGACGCAAATCATTCTTGGCAATCTCCAATCTCTGAACAGCAAGCCTATAATAAAATGTTATCAGTGAGCTTCAGTAGAATGTTCGGAAATAGCAAACAAATTTTTGCATGCATGCATTAAAAACTATGCCATCATAACGGGTGTATTTTGAGAGGCCGAGGTTGGATTGTGGAAGGTGTACGATATTAGAGAATTATTCGTAATTCAACATAAGTAAACCAGCAAAAGGATTATAATAGAAATGTTAGGATGTAAGATGTTAAGGCAAATCAAAAGGACAGATCACTTAGATAATTTAGAGATTTATCAGATTATTTCTATGATTTTATCGACATGATGGGTTAGCGATTGCTCCTTTGTATCTTAAATAGAATTTCATTACAAAAACATTTGGAGATTCTTCGACCACAGGTTCTCGAGGACAATTAAGTGTGGGGAACAAACTTTTCTAAGTAAAGATAAATGAGAAAGGCTCTAAAGGAAGTTAAATGGGTCAACTTGGATTCACAAGAACTAAACTCAGTATTAAATCCACGGTGCTCAGGGATGTTGTGTGGCAAAGAAATTCAAGAGCATAAAGCAGAAAGAGAACTAATCAGTAGACCAGACATCAATAAATGTGTTAGAAGGTAATCTTACTCTTCCTCCCCAGCGAAATCAATTGATTCTGTTGAAGGAGTTTTTCTGGCCTGAAAAAAA